AATATAAGAGTTAAATCCTACCATATGTGCTTAGAAAGAGTGACTTATACGTCGAACCAATATCCGTCTCAAACACAACGTAATGTATAGATAAAGCAAACAACCAAACACGACCAAAAAGAACCCCCCTCTCCCTCAATCCAAAACATTTCTTTAACTTGAAAATTTTATGTTTATGTGATTTCTTCCCAAGTTGTTTCAAATCATTTAAAAAAAAATCTGAAACGCCAATCATGAAACATTAGTTTCAGCTTGATAGTGTTTAAAAAATATGAACCTGGAAAGGTTTCTTATTCTTTTTTGTGGCGCTTTCCATTGTATGTTAAATATACTTATTAAAGTGAAACTAAGAGTAGTTAAAAATCATAATGAATTTTTATTTCACTAATCAAGCAAGAAACGAATAAATTCTTATCCAAATCAAATTTCCATATAAATCTAAATTGCACTCAAATGCCTAGATCTGTTACATCATGACATCAAATCATAAATGAGAAACACGACTGGAGTTTTCAATATATCGTTTTTCCATTGCTTCCGGTCATTGTCAATGGTACAGAACAAAAGGGAATTATCTTTCAAAGTCAAGTCAAAGTCTGTTAACAGACTTCAACAATAATCATCACGGCCCATGTGAGCACGCGTTAGGTGTATGGGCCCATCCTTGTACAGATTTGAGTTGTACTGATAAAATTTTGCCCAAAAGGAATCCAAAACAAAAAACTTTATTTGGGTTTGTGGAAGATGGATCCTCAATTTCTTGCATGTCTTGAGTCCTGGAAAAATTTCAATCTTTGCAATTGTTTTTGACTTTATTTGAATTAGCTGTTTTTAAAAATAATTTTAAAATATTTTACTATAGTAATAGATATGAAAAATTTTTACTATAAATATTTTTAGTGGTGTTTTTAAATGTATTTTTGGGAAACATTATGGGATATCTTTTAAAGTATTTTAAGGGTATTTTTTTTAAAAAAATTAACACTATCATTCACTATTGCCACAATCCTCCTCTCTCCTCCTCCCCTCCTCCTCCCTCTCTTTCTTTTTCCTCTCCTCCTTCACCTCCCTGTCTCCCTCACACTCCGCCCCTCCTCTCCCCATTTGGCCTAGACCAAATCTTGGGGAGGTGGGGAAGAGGAGGGGAAAGGGAGGGGGAGGAGCGGATGAAAAAGATTGGAGAGAAAAGAGAATGAATGAGAAGAAGGAGGAAGAGAGAGGGAGATGAGGAAGAAGAGCATGGTGGTGGTGGGTGATGGTGATAGATGGAAGAAAAAGATGATGTAAATTTTATTTTTAAAATTTTTTTAATATATTTGGAGTTCTTTTTAATATGTTGTATGAATATTATATTTTTGAAATTATTTTTGTTCATATATTATCATATCATTATATGTAAAAAATAATTATTTTTGTTCTTCAAAGCTGTTTTTGGTCTTGGAATTTCAGTCACTTTTGTGCTCTTGAATCTTCCTTTCGATCGACTTGACGATGAGTGGTTGGTTACTTCACGCGTAAAGATTTTGAAGTGAAGTCTTCGGTCGTTGCTATAGAAAAGAACTCTCGGTCATTAGTCTGTACGGAATCCAATAAGCCCCGATGTAATATGGGCAAAGATTATAATCTAATTTTAATTTCTACCCTAGGCGATAATTTGCAGAATCAAAGAGTAATCTTATAATAATTAGAGCTAATATGTAGAACACTTGATGTGGTATTCAATTTGGAAATACTTTTTTTGGTTTTGAATTCATTTGACAAAAACCTTTTCAAAACTAAAGCAAAATTATGATATTCCTTTTGTTCATGAAATGAAAGTAATCTTGTTACTTAGAACTTGCAATTACTTACAATGCTTATATGTTGACATTATTATGTGCACAAGTAGTTTGGGCAAGAATTAGTTTGTTCCTTCATCATGGGAGTAAGAATAGAAGTTTAAAAGGCTATAAAAAATGTTTAAATTGGATGCAATGCTTTACATACGGTTAAGGTAGCAAAAACATCCCGCAAGACGCACTTTAGGATAGTTAGTCAAGTGTCTGTTAGATTTCTGATTTGACTCTTAAGTCATTTTTCTTCCCCCCCCCCCCCCCCTTCGTGTTCCTTTCTTTTCTCCTTCCTTTCTTGCAAGATTTGGAGGTTTCGCTTGAGCCGAAAAATATTTAAAAAAAAAAACTAATTTACTCACTCCTTTTAATCATTTCCAAATATTGTGTTCAATATCCAAAAAAGTGACGACAAATAAGAAAGTAACCAATTAGGATGTGATCAGATCATATTAATCTACAATTAATACGATTTTCTTTACTAGCATGTAGGAGTTTCCCTGAAGTCTTTTTTTTTTTTTTAATGACGCATATATATTCCATAACCTTTGATGTCTTTCATATATACTTTAAAGTTTCAGTAAGCACTGCTCAATGACTTGTATAACAATCTTATATGTAGATTAAATCAACAGAATTATTAAGTTTATTATGTTTAATCGTCTTTTTATGTAGGTCGTGTTGATGTATATACACTTGAAAATATGCATCAGCATCAGTGACGGATTCAAGCTTTTACTTTAGTTGGAACGATTCATCAATGATATAATAGCAAAAATTTCTATAGCAAATAAAGCGTGTTAAATATATAATGAAATTTCAATAGATTATAGTTAAACATAAGAAATTTAAAAAAATAAAGGCAAAGTACAAAGAAAAATGTGAATATTAGACTCTATATCATTTTATTTATTGTCTATGTGAGGCATTCAAAACCATAATTGAAACTTTTTCAATTTGTATGCAGGGGCGGAGCCAGAAAAAAATCTTAGTAGGGGCACAAATAATACTAAAATTTTTTATCTACTCTTTTTTAAATTTTTTGAGCAAAAAATAAATAAATTCACTAACAAGTACAATTGATATGTATATTCCATGAAAAACATAAAAAGACAAACTCAAAATTATGAATGTAATAATAATTTTATTTAAAAACTTCTTTTATTGTCATTTTTTGCACCTTCATTATCCTTGGCTTCTTCTTTATTAGATGGCTCTTTTTCCATTGATTTCCTCTTGAAATATCTCTCCATAGCTAAAGAAATTAAAATCAATATATAAGATACTAATCCAATTAAAATATTAAATGTACAATAAAATCTAATAATCTATCCAAGAACTATTTTACAAGTTAAAGTTATTTATTAAATCATTAATCACAACATATCATTACTATATCAAATCACAACTTATTCATTCATTACTATATCAAATCATTAATAAGAATATATGAACCTAATCAAGTTAATTAGACCAAAGGATCCATATAAGAATAATTTAAAAGTTAAAATATATGTCAAATGGCCCTCTATTCATCATTACATTAACTCCAAATAAGAAACTAATCATGGAAAATAAAAAATAAATTATAAATCTATAAAATCACCATTTCACAAGTTAAAATATTTATCAAATATCAAATAACCCATTTATTAGTTATTACATTAACTAATCAATTTTCAAATTTCTCTAAAACAGTAATAATCTCATGCTCTAGAAATATATTTGCAAACAAATTTAAAATAATAATAATAATAAGTAATTGTTTAAAACCTGATTTCAATGGTCTCCCAAAATTGGTGAAAAGAATTGCAAATCAGTGGCACTGTGGCAGACTCGGGTCCCTTTACTTCCTTTGTGCCCCGTATCACGTTATTTAATTGGAAAGAAGTCATCTTCAAGGACTGGTTTCTTGCGGTTGAACTGAAGAAAGTAGGTCTTGGTTTTCAAAAAGCCTACTCCTTTAATGGAACACTGTTTGAAGTAGTCAACAACACCATTTTCATGACAGGAAAACCAGGATCGGACTATTTGATGGGAGAGACCATTTTCAGTGGGGACAACCAAGAGGCAAAAGAGGAAAAGAAAATTGGGGAATGGGGACAAAGGAAGTAAATGATTAATGATGATTGGATGAAGTAATAAAAAGAAAGAGTAGTTAGTTGGGTGTGGAAGAAGAGGAGTCGTGGGTTGTGAAGTGAAATGGGGGACCACAGGAGTAAAGGGAACTTGGAGAGTGGGGACCAAAAGTAATGACTGATATAATTGATATTTGGTCCTTAGAGGAAGAAAGTGAATGATATAAATTTTGTGACCCATTCTTTCATTTTTTTTTTTAAAAATTCTGGGGGCACCATTAAAATTATATCAAAATTATAGGAGTATTAGAGGAATTTAAGGAGGGCAGTGGGGGCCCGTGCCCCCAGTGCCCCCACTGTAAATCCGCCCTTGTTTGTATGATAGCCAGAATAGATATATAGTTTGTTTTCTTCATTTTTGATTTCCTATATGACATATACAGTGTTACTTTAGTTACTATTTAAAGTTGTAGTTATCAAAGAAACTAAGAGTTGGTTTGTTATAAGAAACTTGGAGAAAAGAAAGCTTTATATTTTTATAATTGTTATTAAAAAATAATACTAACTGTATAGTAATGTAGATGTTAATGGCATACTTTTATAGGGAAACTAATTGTTAGTTTGATAAATGGCACTTTATCAAAAGAAGTTAAATAAAATAACGAAAAGAATAATTTTAAAATTATTTTGGTACTACAATTTGTATTAAGGCATAGGTACAAAGTAGGACAATCAAAACAGCTTTCATGCTCCCTTTTCTCCTTATTTTCTGGCTCTACTAATTTTAGTGCATTGTTACCACAAAAATATTAATCCTAATATATGTGCGCTTTAGAACATATATCTCGCTTTGAACTACCAAAAACTACCAAAAAAAAAGACAAAAGAAGAACTTTCCTCTCCCCCAATCCCAATTCTCATTTTAACTTGTTAATTTTATGTTTATGTAATTTTCTTCGTAAATTGTTTCAAATCATTTCTGAGGTTAAAATTTCTGAATAATGAATAATAAATTCTTTTCGAAATCAGATTCCTGGGTCTTCCATTGTTGACTTGTCAATGTAAATATGCTTTCCAAGCCTGATATTGATAGCCACGTCAACTGTCAAGCTTTATATCAACTGTGAATTTCTTCCATCATAATTTGACGACCACTGCCAGCCAGCTCTATATATCTATCTGCAACATAGCTGAAGTATTTCTTCCGACATTTCACATGACCATGGGTGGATCAACCCATTTCTCTGTTTTCTTACTCGTCGCAATAATTTTACTCTGTTCTTCCACCAAAACTGTAAATGCAACTTGCTATGCAAGCGAGAAACAAGCTCTTTTGGACTTCAAGAAAGACTTGGAAGATCCCTTTGGTAGACTCTCGTCTTGGATACACGACGTTGATTGCTGCAAATGGAAAGGAGTTGTTTGTAGCAACCGAAGTGGCCGCGTGATTCAACTTCTCCTTGAGGGTCCTGATCCTGAAATTGATGATTTTGGTGATCAGGAAATATCAGCATTAAGCGGTAAAATCAGTCATTCGTTACAAAATTTGACTCACTTGCGTTACCTTGATCTAAGTCTAAATGATTTCAGTGGAATTCCAATTCCCAGTTTTTTTGGGTCTCTCAGAAGTCTAAGGTACCTGAATTTATCTGGAGCTGGATTTCAAGGAATGGTCCCCTATCAGCTTGGAAACCTGTCAAGCTTACGCACTTTAAGCTTGGAAACCTATCGAGTTTCCGATCTTCAAGTTGATAACCTGCAATGGTTGGCTGGTCTCTCCAATCTGGAGCACCTAGACATGAGTCGCGTGAACCTTAGTACGGCGTCTAATTGGCTAGAGGTGATTAACACGATCCCTTCCTTGGTAGAGATACATCTGCCCTATTGTCAACTTGATTTAATTTCTCATCATCTTGGCAGAGATACATTTGTCCTCCATGCCAACTTTTCTTCTCTTACTGTCCTAGATCTTTCTGGAAATTTTCTTGGACACCTCATCCCTAGATGGATTTTCGGTCTTACTGCCCTTGCTTCCCTTGATTTAAGTGATAACTCGTTTGAAGGTCCATTGCCCAGAGATCTTAGGAACTTGACTTCCCTCAAGCTCTTGGATCTTTCTAGAAACTATCTAAATGGTTCACTACCAGACGAGCTTATTCATCTTAACAATCTCATTTCTCTCAACCTTGGGGGGAATCAATTAGAAGGCTTCTTGGAAGGAATTTGGAATTGGAGTTCCCTTGCATCTTTGGATCTATCAGTGAATCACTTCGCTACCTTCCTCCCAAGCCAATTATCCACTTTAACTGCCCTAATTTCACTTGATCTTGGCGACAATCACTTTCGAGGTTCTATCCCAAGCTCTATTGCCAACATTTCCAACCTTCAACATCTTGATCTGTCTTATAACAACCTTAGCTCCTCTTTACCAAGTGAAGTATTCACATTGAAGGACTTGATTTCACTTGATACAAGCAATAATTACTTAAATGGTCCAATTCCAAGCACAGTTGGCAACTCAAATAAACTGTCATCCTTGGATGTATCTCACAACAAATTCACTGGAACTCTTCCTGAAAGTTTTTGGCAGCTTTCCAAACTTGAAGAGCTTCGTATTGCTGATAATTTAATAGAAGGTATTGTGAGTGAGAGCCACTTAGACAATCTGGCAGCTTTAAGGATTTTTGAGGCATCTGGAAACTCCTTGACCTTAAAAGTAAGTGCAAGTTTGTCCCACAGGCTTTTGAGGTTAATTCTGGGATTAGGTTTATAAAACAACAAAAGTCTGATTCAGGCTGTTGAAAAAAGACAAATTGCCTCAGGGTTGAAAGGGTATTGGGTGGTAGTATCCCACTTAGCAGCAGGTCCCCCCTATAGGTACATTTGTCCCACATCGGGGTTGGGGTTGGGTTTGGGTTGGGATATAAGTCCCTGGGATTGCCTCAAGAGTTGCCGGCTTTTGAGGTTAATTCTGGGATTAGGTTTATAAAACAACAAAAGTCTGATTCAGGCTGTTGAAAAAAAATAAAAGTAAGTGCAAGTTGGACTCCTCGTACCCAATTTCAAACACTTGGATGGGGCTCATGGAAGCTGGGTCCCCAATTTCCTACATGGATCCGATCACAAAAATTTCTTGATGTTTTGAACTTGTCCTTCACAGGAATTTCAGATACTATTCCATCTTGGTTATTCAACTCATCATTGAAATATATATACCTTTCTCACAATCAACTCCATGGTAAGAGTTCAAATATCTCTGAAGTTATTAAAGATTTATATGTGCATTATAGTCAAGCACATTCAATGCATTATAGTCAACTCACATCGGTCCACGTAGAATTTAATTTATGGTAAATGTTTAAATATCTCTAAAACTGTTAAAAGGTTTATATGCACACAATTATTTAGAACTTAATTTCCAATTATTTATTTTCAGGAGGCACCTCTCACATTTTGTGTGAAGTGAAGAATGAAAATCAAGTTCTTCAATATTTGGATCTTGGGAAGAATTGTCTATCAGGAGAAATTCCTGACTGTTGGATGAATTACCCATTCATGTATCACATCAACCTCAACAGCAATAACTTCACTGGAAGCATTCCAAGGTCATTGTTTAAGTTGGAAGATCTGGAGTATTTAGGCTTGGGTAATAACAGCCTCACTGGTCCGATAACCTTTGACTTTGATGCAGAGTTGTGGTGATGTAATTGCAGGTCAGGCTGCAATCCCAAATCTTTCATACATAGAAAATGTTGTAATTGTTAACAGTCGTTAATGGATTCACCAATGTTTTGAAGCTATGATTGTCAGATTCCACGTAATGGTTTCTACTATACATTTGACGACAATAGGAAATGACATTTGCACCCCGTCCTCTTGAAATGAACAAAAGAAAAAGTCAATATTACCTAAAATGCATATCAAACTGTAAACTTGAAATGAACATCTTTATTGGGAGAAGTTCAGTATTAGGCCCAACTGTTTTGATCAAAATAAATTTGATCTCCAAAATTTCTCCTTTTTTTTTTTCAAATTTAGGACAATAGACAACAATTCAATAATTCTCATGGTCAAAATCAATTTACCTTCAGCCAACAGTTTTTACTTTGCATTTTTTTTGTCCCCACTATTTAGAGTTTGAATTGTTATAGTTTCTTAAGTTTTAAGTAATATTATTAAGAGTTTTAAATAAAACGATAAATGAATTAGATCAAAATTGTTTTTAGACGTGTATTACAAATACTATTTAAATTTCTTTTACTTCTTTGTTTATTTTCTTTGTTTTATAATGCCACTAGTTTCTCATATCTTTCTTCTCTTTTGGATTTATAGTTGGTCTCAAATTGGGCATACTACATGTGCTTATCATTTTGCATTATGAACGATTAATTGATCATGAGTTCTCTCCTTTTCTTTCACATATATTAATTATTAAACACTCAATTATATTATATGTAAATTAGATTGACAAGCTAACATATATTTTCTTTCTTTCTTTCTTTCTTTCTTTGTACATTTCAACAGATTATCAATCCAGTTCGAAATGAAATATCTATTATATAAAATTATTTAGATTTTGAGATAAAATTTTTTACATACATGAACATTTTAACAATTAATCACTTATCCTTGGAAATTAGGTTCTAATATGAAGGGGAGGCACAAAAAAATTCGGGTAAAGTACATAAAACCCCCCTGTGGTTAAGGAAATTGACAAGAAACCTCCTCATTGTTTAGAAACTCCCACTTAACCCCCCTATGCTTTGGACTTGTTTGGATTTTACCTGCTAACCGGCTGGGGAGCCGGTAATAATATGAAATACCGAAAATACCCTCATATATAATATGTGAAAAGTTACAGATGCAATGAGTCAATCTGGAGCGGATGAAAGAAACTGAGAGAGAAACCCTAAACCTATAACGAAGAAGAAGGTAACTGTATTGCTGAGCGGCGCGAGTTATGGTGAAGATCTGTCGGGCTTGAGACACATTTCATGTTTAGAGACAGAAACCCTAAACCTAATTCCAAAAAGAAGGTGTTAGTGTGCTGCGGATCGGGAAACCTACAGCCAAGAACATCGGTCGGTGCTTCAGTGCAGATGGATCGGCGTTTAAGTGTAGATCGGTCGAGAGTCGCAACGTATTGAGCATATCTGAACCAGGTAAAATACATATACGAACCTTATGCATTAGACGAGTTGATTTGTTTGATGGCAGGTGTTTTGGTACTAAATTGTTGGGAATATTTTGAAACTTGGTAAAGGAACTACCATGTTTGGCTTAGTTAGAAGTGTCTCCGACAATGTTTGTGGGAATTTGTTTTTGAAATTTGGTAAATATTGCAAAATGTCAGTTTCGGTTTGGTCAAAAGCTTTTCCGACAGTCTTCCGACAATGTTTGTGGGAATTTTTTTTGTTTTTTTATAACAATACGCAAAATGTCAAGATTTGGCTTAGTCAGAAGCTTTTCTGACAATGTTTGGGTGCAATTATTTATGAGTTTTTGTGGAGTAATCGAATTTTCATTGGTCCATACTGGTCTTGATTATGGTCTTGATTATGTTTTTCATCCTTCTACATAAGTGTGTTGTTGTTCATTTTTTATGTTTTTGAAACTGAGTGTATGAAATATTGCATGAAATAATCTCGGTTACTTTGGGTTAGGTGCATAAAAATGGGAGATAATTCGTGGCAGACCGTAGACATACACTTGCATTATGGTGGATATTTCAAATGGGAGCCGAGAATTAGATACACTGGTGAACATGTGAGGGTATTTTGTGATTTCGACCCTGATGAATTATCCGTATTTGAGTTTCAAAAAATGTACCAAACAATTGAGCGCGGCGTTACAAATATGAATTTCTGGTACTCTATTCCCTTTCATGACATTGATTTTGGTGTGGTTAGCATCAATGATGATGTGGACATCGAATTATTGACAACATGTTATGAGGGGCTTAAAGAAATGCACATATATGCTGAGAGGGGGTCTGATCCCATTGAAGTTGTGTCCCCGGAAGGAAAATTACTGTACAAGAGAGTGACTGGTGATGGCATACTTGCACTTCCATATCATGATGCCTGGCAGGCTGAGATGAGTTCGTCCTCAACTGTTAAAGGCAAGGATGACATGGTCAAGGAAGTAATTGGGAGTGGGAGTGAGGACAATAATGACATTCCAGACATTAACAACAAAGCAAAGGACGTCTGCGAAGAAAAGTCATCACAAATGGAGTCAGATCCAGCTGTTATGGGACCACATAAAGAGAAGATACATGATGCTGGTGACAAGTCCAAGAGAAAGAAGGCAAGAAATGATAAAAAAGTCAAGTCACAAAGAGTAAAGTTAAGCGCAAGGAAATCAGTCAGACGGTTATTTAAAGACAAAGAAGAAGGTGATACTTCCTCAGAGTTTCGGCAGTGTCATACAAGGAAATCAACAGAAGAAACAACACAGACAGAGAGAGATCCAACATCAGAGCAGACTGATTGTTATGAAGAAAGACCAATTCATGAAGACGGAGAAGAAGATGAAATCATACTGGATTACTCAGATTTTCCTGATTGGCTAAGAGAAGCAGTACAACTGTCTGAAGATGATGATATATTTGCAGGTTTACATGGTCAAGGATCAACACAGGCGTCTATAAATATTGGATCTGCAAATTCGGTTGGTATTCCTTCTGAGCAGCAACAAGAAAATCAGCAAGCAAAAGCATCAAACAAAGCTGATTTAGATGAACAGCACCAAAAACAACATGAGAATCAGCAACCAACCAAAAACCCAGAAGTTGATTTCGATGAACATCAACAACAGCAACAAAATCAGCAGGAACAGGATTGGAATGAGGCAGTAGATGATGATGAAAACCTGTTTGACAGAGGAATAGGTTCTGATGATGAAAGCACCCCTGTCTACAGCTACTTCAATGCGGATGAAGAGTTTAGAAAAGAGCATTTTGAACTAAAGGCTGGCCAGAAATTTAGCAGCTTTCATAAGTTTAGAGAGGTTTTAGTGGAATGGGGTATTAGGGAGGGATATGAGCACAAGTACATCAGAAATGAGGGGTCTCGAATCACAGCTAAATGTGCAAGGGGGTGTAGTTGGAGGATTCATGCAAGCAGAATCCAGAGATCAAAGACATTTATGATCAAGACTCTTAAGGGAGATCACCATTGTGGCAGGGATTACAGCAATCGACATGCCACCTCAACATATCTGAGTCATAAATTTCAAGCCAAAGTGAGAGATGATCCTGGGTGTAGTATTCCTGGCATGATGAATGAGACAAGAAGATTGTTCATGCTAGACATTAGTCAAAAAAAAGCTGCCAGGACAAAGCAAAAGGCATTAGAGGCACTCAGGGGCAATGACATGGAGCAATACCACAGACTTTGGGATTATGTAGCTACTGTAAAAAATTCCAATCCTGATAGTCATATTTCATTGCAAATTGATAGGCGAAATATTGAGGAAAGGGCTACATTTCAGAGGATATATTATGGTTTAGGTGCGTTGAAAAATGGTTTCCTACAAGGATGTAGACCTATCATAGGTCTAGATGGCTGCTTCCTCAAGAGTCCCTTTGGAGGTCAGCTGCTTACAGCCTTGGGTAGGGATGCCAATGAAAATATGTTCCCTATTTCCTTTGCTGTTGTTGAGATTGAGAATTACGACAGTTGGAGTTGGTTTTTGCGGGAATTAATCAGCCAAATTGGAAGAGGAAACAAAGGAGTGGCTTACACTTTCATCTCAGATAGGCAAAAGGGTCTTGTCCATGCAATTGAAGAATTATTTCCTGAATCAGAGCACAGATTCTGTTTGAAACATATGTTCGAGAACTTCAAACTAAGATTCAAAGATCAAGACCTTAGAGATCTGTTTTGGGAGGTAGCTGCAGCAGCAAGCATGCCGGAGCATGAAACTGCCCTTTCAAATCTTGAGAGGGCTGACCCACAGGAAGATGACAAGCTAACAGCTGCGGGATGGTTCAAACGGTTGCCTCGAAAATTATGGTCTAGAGCTCATTTTAGTACAGCTTGTAGGAGTGACACTTGCGTTAACAACATGAGTGAGTCATGGAATAATTACATTCTAAAAGCTAGAGGGGAGCCAATAATAACAATGTTGGAGTGGATTCGGAGGAGATTAATGCAAAGGTTGGTAACCAAACGAGAGGGCATGCTGAAACATGGTGGAACTTTATGTCCAAACATTTATGAGAAGTTGGAGAAACTTAAGATAAAGGCAAGAAATTGTGTTGCGGTTTACGGAGGAAATGGAAATTTGGAAGTTGATGGCTATGGAAGGACAAATGTTGTCAATTTGGAGTTGAAAACTTGTACCTGTGGTCATTTTCAGCTTAGTGGCATTCCTTGCGTGCATGCGGTTGCCTGCATTCAGAGCAGAAAGCTGAAATTCGAGGAATATGTTGATGCTTGTTACCATAGGGAAGCATATTTAAGGGCCTACAACTTCACAATTGGTCCCGTTCCTTCGAAGCAGTTCTGGGTAGATAGCAAGATGCAATATCTGAACCCACCATTGGTGAAAAAACAGCCTGGTAGGCCAAAAAAACAGAGAAAGAAGGGTCCAGAAGAGCCTACAAATCAGCAGAAAGCAAGTAGGAAAGGACTTGCAGTTTACTGTCGGAGATGTTTGAAAACTGGACATAACATACGTACTTGCAAATCAGCGAT